TTTATTCCATAAATTTTCCCACTAGGAGGGTTTGGGTTATTGTCTATATTCGAAACAAGGACCCGCACCTGTTTTTAAAATAGGGATCAAAATTTTCCATTTTCCACTTACTGGCACCAACCCGTTTGTATGATATGTTGAAAAGATTAGCCAAAAGGGGTTTCAAAACCCTCTTTACATTCCTTTAAACCCTTTCTACATTTTATAGGGGCCCGGGGGTTTTTTAGGTTTAATTTTTCTATTTTTCCTAAAAGGGCCATGCACTTGTGAAAACCCCAAAGTGCACAGTTTAATTTTCGGGCCTGTTTTTACATAATTTATCATTACTGGGAAAATCGCGGGAAACCCCCTGTTAAAAAATGAAGGGAAATAAGGGGGGTTAAAAATTCTACACATTTCCTTTTAAACACGTCAGTGAGCTGCCCGAGGAAATTTTTAAAGGGCCTATCTTTTCCCCGATCTTACTTTTTGTTTTACCTGAAAGAATCCTTTTGGGTTTGTCTTTTGATTCTCTTGCAAAATTTTAAACCCCATAATTCTATTTTCTTTTCTAATTCCCTTTTTTTTTTCTCCCCTTTAACTGAATATATCCCATTTTTTAATTTCCCCCCTCCCTTTTATTTTCCTAAAATCCTCCCCTTTTGAAACCCAATCAGATATTTTTAAACATTGTTCATCCAATTTTGGATCATTTTTGTTTGATTTTGATTTTCCCCATTTTTTAACATAAAAATTTTACTAGCAGCTAGAACTACCCCCGGAAAAACATCATATGCAACCACACCACCTACCTGACCCCTAGTCAGGTCATTCCAGTTCACCCACCTAAGTTTAATTTTTTAGTCCTATGAAATCAGCCCAAAGGGAAAATCCCGGGGCGGAGACTTGATTCCATTATTAGGGGAAAACCATGATTTGTTTAAAAATGGGGTGGGTTTGTGATCACTCTCCCCAAGCTCATCCCTTTAACCCCAAAAATTAAAAATTTTGTGTTTCCCTAAATGGCAAAACCAATCAAGGAGGTTATTTCCCCAAATTGGGTCGTCACAAACTGTTTTTAAAAAAAAAATCCTGGATCGGGATCAAAAAAGTCACCCGACTCCCAAATTTCCTGTCAAATTGCTCCAGTCAATCTGTCTATAGTTTTAAATCTCCCCTTAGCAAAAACATTTTTGTAGTAATTCCTTCCCAATTTCGTCCCATAGAAGTTTACTGGGACTTTTCCCCATCAAAATTTGGGGGCCCCGTAAATACACCCCAAAAATTTTTTTTTCTCGGCCCTCAGAAGCGTAAACCCAAAAAGGATTCAAGGGGGCCTTCCAATTTAATAACTTGTCTAACACAAAAATTTTAAAATTTTCTCTACATACATCGCTACCCACCACCTTCCTGTTGACCCTTTCCCGTGTGGGAAAAAATTTAAACCTTTTAGTGACATTCAGAGGGCATCTCTCTATCTTTTCCCGATTGAGCCAGGGTTCCCTTTTTATAGCAAAAATATCTATGTTTCCTGCCCCTTGCAATTAATCTTAGCTCATCTATTTTTTAAAATTTTTAACACTCCTTTCTATTAGTATAGTAAACCTTAAGGGGGCTAGTCCCCCTTTCTGCCCTCTGCTGTCCCCCTTTGTTTTTCCCGACCTGTTCTATGCTTTTTTTTATAACTTCATGCTGAATGCCTTTTAAAACCCTTTTCTGTTTCCAAAACCCCAGTTTGCAACCTGCTTTTTTTTCCCACACACACCCATACCTCTATCTTCCCTCGTTTAAAATCCTAGGCATTTCGGGCCCAAAGGCCTTTTCAATCGAGCTGCAAGTGCAAACCCCCCCTTCCCCGAGAGATGAACCCCATCCCTTCATACATACATTTTTGCCATAAAAGTTTTTCCAGTTGTCAATGAAAAGGGAAAGGGAAGTTTCCCCTTTCATATCTGTCTACCACAATTTACACCAATTGCCCTAGACCAAACCCTTCATTTCCCACTCCCCTTCTACAAGATGCTACATATGATTGGATCCCCCCCTTTGACTTAATGAAATCTATAGCTGACCTTACTTTTTCTAGCACTCTTCTCTCCTACCCCCCAATAAACATTTCCACCAGCACGAGACAGATAATGGCTTGTTCCCATTTTTCCTTTACATGATATTTTCCAGTCTGTTGACAAAGTCCCCAACACCAGCTTCCCCGGGAAGCACCTCTATCTCCCCATCTTCTTTTTTTCCTATTAAAAAAAGGGAGATCAACAAAATCTTACCCCGAGAGTCCCCCAACCACAAAAGGGCCTTTCCTTCATTACAGGGGGAGTATAAACCCTTTCCTTTTACTGGCCACTGAATACAATCATCCCGGGGGAAAAAGAGAACCCATTTTCCCACCTTCAATCTGCACCTTAACTTTCCTTCCTGATGCGCCTCCCTTACGTGAACAACTCGCCACTTGTAGCAGGTTTCTGGGGGCACCCCTGCTGGTACCTTGCTACCACCCCCCTACAGCCCCCCACAGTGAGAGACAGACTGCACCTCACTGCAAAGCCTCAAACCCCCCTCCCAACCACCCCCACACTCTCTCCCCGGGCCCCTTGAGGTGGACCTTCAGCCTCCTAATCTCCTCCTGGAGAAGCAAGACCTCCTCCTTCAACTCTCCAACCTCAGCTTTTAAAACACTGTAGAAGCAAGCCATGCTTTGTAACCGTCCACGCTAATCCCCAAGCAGCTCAGGGTCTGTGACCTCACGTGACGACTGACCACTGGTAGTGAATTCCAGATTTTAGGGCCTTTTATGTGCATTGAGTTTTTGCATAGCGTGAGATGGACACGAGGAACATCAAAGAGTGATCTGTGCCTTGTGTTATGGTCATGTGAGTGACATGACGGAAGGGATAGATTCAGAGGTGTCCCTGTTTGCAGACGATGTGAAGCTAATGCGGAGAATTAAAGCAGATGAGGATCAGGTAGGCCTACAAATGGATCTGGACAGGCTGAAAGCCTGGTCCAGCAACGGGCACTAAGTGCAAAGTAATGAAGATTGGGAAAGGTCAAAGAAGGCCGAAGACAGAGTATAGGCTAGGGGCCCAAAGACTGTAAACCTCACTCAAGGAAAACGAACTTGGGATGAGTATAATACCGAGCACATCTGAGGCACACATTAACCAAATAACTGCTGCAGGATATGGGCTCCTGGCAAACCTAAGAATAGCGTTTCGACACCTGAGTAAGGAATTATTCAATACTCTGTACGCCGTGCATGTCAGGCCCATAGTGAAGTATGCAGCACCAGTATGGAACCCACACCTAGTCAAGCACTTCAAGAAATTAGAGAAAGTGCAGAGAATTTCGAAATTAAATTAATAGTCCCCCAAGATGCGACCCACATCAGTCGACTAACACCCAAGTACTTACTTACTGCTAAGTGAACAGGGACAGCAGGTGTAAAGTGATTAACATCCAGGTACATGTTAACTGCTAGGTGAACAAGGACAGCAGGTGTAAGGAAACGTGCCCAACATTTCGCTTGTGCAGGGAATCGATCCCAGACCCCTCATTGTGTGAGCTGAGTAAGTTGCCAACCTAACCACCAAGTACAGTTAAAATAAGAAAAATAAGTAAATGCTATGCATTCTATAAGTCTTCAGATTATTGTATGTTTTATACAGTAATTTTGAAATAAAGACAGTAATGATTGGGAAGTGGGCTTTGTACATCCATTATGAAGTGTCATCTATTTCTGTACAATGTATCAAGTGGAAGTAAATTTTGAATTTGAATCTGCCTAGTAGGATCATTGAAGCTGAAACCTTGGGTACCCTTAAAAATAGGTTGGACAAATACATGAGGATGAGTATTGTTGAACTACTGTTCACAGGATGAGTATGAGGGGACTACCGTCCACAGGATGAGTATGAGGGGACTACCGTCCACAGGATGAGTATAGGGGGACTACCGTCCACAGGATGAGTATGAGGGGACTACCGTCCACAGGATGAGTATGAGGGGACTACCGTCCACAGGATGAGTATGAGGGGACTACCGTCCACAGGATGAGTATGAGGGGACTACTGTTCACAGGATGAGTATAGGGTGACTACCGTCCACCGGATGGGTATAGGGTGACTACCGTCCACAGGACGAGTATAGGGGGCTACGGTCCACAGGATGGGTATAAGGTGACTACTGTTCACAGGATGGGTATAGGGTGACTACCATCTACAGATGGGTATGAGGGGACTACCGTCCACAGGATGAGTATAGGGGGCTACAGTCCATAGGATGGGTATAAGGTGACTACTGTCCACAGGATGGGTATAGGGTAAACAAACCATACCACGGGTGGAGAGAGAACCCGCGATCAGACCGCGGGTTCTATCCCCACCCGTGGTATGGTTTGTTTGCAATCGTGCCATTACAATTTCGTGAGTCATGGGTATAGGGTGACTACCGCCCGCAAGATGGGTTTGGGGGCGTAATAAATACTATATGAAACAACGTTTGTGGAAGATTGATCACCAACTCAAGGGGAAAAGTCCTTCGGTTTGCCCAGGATTTTTGAGGCCACAAGTCCCTATCCTATTTTTTAACGTTTTTTTTTATTAACGGCCCTCCTGGGTTAAATATGTGTAATTATGTTAGTTAATAGGGTTTAAGTCTATCGACTACATGAGGGTCATTAAGGACCCCAGTGGAAATAAGTCACTTTGACTTTCTTGGGGTATGCTAGGTAATTTACAGTGATAATTGTACATAATTATGTGTAACTGCCTAAATAAACTTGCTAAGGCTGCATGTAATCTTTTAACCACCAGACAAGAATACGTTAATCCCCAAAATAGGAATTAAAGTAAACTCTCAGCATATATATGATGTGGAAAATACGCTTCTTGGTGTACATATCCTGTATGGTTGTTGTTTTTTTCAAATGTATAATTATTTTTTCCTAAGGAAATAAGTCACATTGTCTTCATTGGATATATTCTAGGCTAAAGGTATGTAGTGTACTTTTTTTTGAGCCCATAACGTCTGTGTGCCCTCAAGACTACTGTAAAAAAATAAAAATTTGCATGCTGTGTAGCCAAAGCTTAAATAAAAATTGTTATATGAGAGGTGGAAGGCAGGGGAAGGTGGACTAGCACTGCAGTGGACCTTCAACACCACCAGTACAACAACACCGGCATTATATTGGTAAGATTTTTGTGTTACCTTGTTATAGCCTGTTGACATATTTCCTTTTAGTTCGCTCTATTTCATTATTAGACTGCTTATTTCAATATGTTGTTCCACGAGGAGGTTTTTTTTTTTATTTATTCGTATTTATTCTGTATATATATAGTATCGATCGAGGAGTGACGATGATGCAACACTGAAGAGGAATTCCCCTCATGATGCCGGTGAAGGGCTCTTCATCCAAGGAATTAGACTTGTCTCTCTCTCTCTTCCTTGGATCAAACCTCTTGCCTCCCGTTCTCCAAGCGCTATATAATCTCTGTGGTTTTAGCGCTTTTCCCAGAATATAATAAATCTGAATATCAACCAATTTTGACCATCCCATTATTATTATATTAATAAGTCTACTTTATAGTTATCGATAATGCCTGAAAAACTGTGCAGCTTTAAGGTGAACTTCGTCAGTTTTATAACAAATTTAGTGTAATTTTACTGTAATTTGTAATAAAAACTAGTAAGTTTAGCTCGTATATAATCATTGGGCTCATAATACATTCTCAAAAAAAAAAAAAATATTATGCATAGAATTTTCTGAACAGCTAATGGAAAAATACAGTTATATATTACTGGGATTATGTATATACAGTAGATCATTGATTACCCGGCACCATTAGAGGGAGATTGCACTGAATTTTCAAAAACATTAAATGACAAAAATATTGTTTCTATTGATTGCACATAACTTTTTTTATTTATTGAATAGCTGTCTTTCCAAAAGTGTAATTTACACATATGTTACTAGGTTTGATGATTGTACTTGTGTACCTGTACCCAAATAAACTTATTTACAAATGACCTTCCCAAATAATCTTAAAGTCAAGAGAGATTGTATATCTTAACTCATTTATCAGTTGGAGAATCTTGAGAGCAAGTCAGATCATTTTGCTTGAATGCCAAGAATTCCTTTGCATTTTTTAAAATGGTAAGTTTAATAATATTTTGTTAGTACGTACTACCTATTTTATATGCTAAATGAATTGATAAAAATTGATATTTCTCCTTTATCAAAAAGCTTAATAGTGTAGGTTTATCTAGGCACAGATACATATAAGTACAATTATCATACATAGTGTAAATTACCTAGGATAACCCCAAAAAGTTGAAGTTACTTACTCTAACTTTTTTTTTCCATGATATGCCACTGTTTAAGAGCTACCTATTTGTAGCTACATGAGCACAGCTGTGCTTGTCGTGGTCTTCAGTCATTTGTTCACTGTATAATTTCTTAAAATTTTCAGTGGTTATAGCTCGATTGCTAGTGCACTCAACTCACACACTGAGTTCCGGGGTTTGCATCTCCGGTACGGCTCGATAACATTAGGACGTGTTTCCATAAGACACCTGCTCTCCATGTTTACCCATCAGTATAAAATGGGTACCTGGGTGTTAGTCGACTGGTGTGGGTCGCATCCTGGGACAGAACTGACCTAATTTGCCCGAAATGCTGTGCATAACAAGTGGCTTTCTATAGAGTAGTATGTCATTGATGTCAGCTATGCCTGTATACCTTGTACATGTACAAATAAAGATATTATTATTATTATTATTATTATTATTATTATTATTATTACTTAGCTACTATATCCATTTGTGGGTTCATTCCATTGATCTACCACTCTGTGAAGAAAAATTTCTTAGTATTCCTTTGACTCAACATTTTTCTTAATTTACAACTGTGGCCTCTTGTTATTCCTGTTGCAGGTACCAGATCAGAACTGTTGCTGCCTTATAACTTTTATTATAGCATTTATAAGTCAGAGCAACCATCTTGAATATTGAGCATGGCCTGGTAGGCAACACACTTGCCTCTCACACTTAGTGTCCGTGGTTCAATCCTCTGCAAGGGTGGAAACATTGGGCGTGTTTCCTTATACATGTATCTGCTGTCCCGTTCACCTAGCAAGAAGTAGGTATCTAGGTGTTAGTCGACTGGTGCGGATTGCATCCTGGGGGACAAGATTTAAGGATCCCCAATGGAAATAAGACACAGTACTTGATGATGCACTGACTTTCCTGGGTTATCCTGTGTGGCTAACTCTGGGGGTTAAATATCCAATTAAAATTTTATCTTAACATCTGAGAGTGACAATGCCACACCCACCTGGTTATGTTGTGAGTTCTATCCAATACTTAGCAGAGAAAAAACTGCTGTATATCTTGAAATTTTGTGTTAATCTGTTTCACTTATGGGTTAATGCGATTTTTTCTTGCTTATTTTTTTTTTTTTAATTTTATACATATACCATGTTTAACAAAATTTGATTATCTTCTATATCAGGTCGTGCAGTTCTTTATAATTCTCTTACAATAACATCTTGCCTACATTACTTATCATTCATTTCTTTTATCCATGCCTTGTTTTACACAGTGAACATGATAAATATAAATGTCTGCTTTTACGTACTCTTGTGTAATTGCAGTTTTATCTTATGTTGCAGGTTAACACACAAAGCTTCATTTTCCACTGTTTCAAGAAATGGTAGAACTGACCACTGTTGCGATTGGATTTCTTGTCTCTCTTGAAGTTGGATACTTTTTAAAAGCTTTCATATATGGATTTGGCTCCAGGTATATCCTCTCCAGAATTAATACTTTATCGTCATCAAAACTTTACGGTAAATCATTATTTTTCAACTATTGTAACTCAGGGAAGGCTGGTACTCACCATCTGTCCTGTCTTATGATTGATATAATGAATGCATGTTTAATGTTTTACACTCTGATTGGTTTATTGAGATCTCTAAGCCTCGTGAACATTAAATAAACAGCTTATGCTAATTCCTATAGTATCAGAATTCATTATATGCATAACTTCTCCTTTCTCCATGTTCTTTGAATTAGTTTTTAAAATACCAGGTAAAAGGTGATAACACTGTTTAAAATACTCATGGGTTTTGAAAGCTGAGAGATCAAACTGGAAGGAAGGAATGTGGAGAAAGTAACATGTATTGCACTTAGTCACTTGGGAGTAGATATATCAGTAAATATATCTATAAAGAACAAGGTAAATCATTTAACAGCTGAAAGATAGAAAATTACAGGAGTGTTGAGGGACCTATGGAGCCATTGTTCTGGTTCAACCAGAACAATGGCTTCTATAACATAGCTGAACCACTTGCCAAGAAACTTCATCGCTATCCCACATAAGAACATAGGAATGGAGGAACACTGTAGAAGGTCTGCTCACAAACTTATCCAATCTCTCTTCCAAGCTACCCAAGATTTTAGACTCTAAAACCCCACTCGGTAGATCATCAGATGCAGCATTCTCCACCTGACCCAGCATTCTGAACCTAACTATAAATATCCGCATACCTTTCACCCAGGTAGATCTGTTTGTGACTTGAAAAAGTCTACTGTGTGGGCAAAACGTCAATAAAGGATCACATTATACTGCATATGTGTTTATATTTCCATAGTATAGTAATGCTGGTAATTTTTTGTGAGTGAAGAATGAATTTTAAATATTACAGCAATGAGTATCTTGGGAGCAGTGGAAATGCCTAGTATGAGATTGTGTGGTGTAAATGTTTTAGAAAGAGAGTATTAATTGGAGAAATTAGATACAAAATTAATATAAATGGTAAAAATCAAAGAATGGAAAAAAAAAATAGGTAGACTTGTACTGATCAATGCTAATTGTATTAATCAGTAACAACAAGGAAAAACATGAAAGTGATTCTGCTTGAATATCCTACTAGGAAAATAACATAGGGCATTACAATATTAATAGTGGTTAGTCTTAAGAAATGGTCTGTTATAGTAGAAGACCCACAGCTAGCAAAGGAAGTGTTAAAACCAAAATGGATCAAGGATGCCTCCATTTGGTGTTGTGGGGTGGGGGGGTTGTGTGTGTGTGTGTGTGTTTGTGTGTGTGTGTGTTGGTGTGTGTGGGGGGTGTGTGGTGTGGGTGGGTGGGTTGGGGTGGGGGGGCAAGTTACCCCCACACTGCACTTCATGCTTTTTTTAAACAGGGTATTAATGTACCTGGTTAGAGGGTTTCAACACTTGGGTTACGGGAAGGGTTTTTTGCAAGATGAGCCCATTGGCCTGCACCATTGGGGGGTCCATGGCTTTGATCACCCAGGGGGCTAACCCCACATGGTCAACCCTGAGTCAGAGACTCCTTGAATACTGGCATTATGTTTCGGGGCAGCAAGCACACCCTAGTCCCTAGCTTCCCTAAAAATTTGCTTTTAAAATAAAGATGTGTCCTCGCCATAAAAATTCCATATCTGATTTTGTTAAAAATAAAAAAAAAATTGTAAATACCAATAAGTCTCTCCTTTACTACCCCCTATTTTTTCCCCTTTCCTTCCCCCCCCCCCCTTAATCCCATAACTCCTCTCCTTTTCCTTTTTAACTGCCCCTTTCACTCTTACTTTTCCCCATTGTATAGCAACTCTTTCAGGAAACTAAGCGTACTAGGAAAAGGGAAGGAGAAAGAGGGATCCTCGCCTACCCTTCCCCCCTCCCATGGCCCCACCCTGGTGCCTGGGTTCCTCCCTGGTCTTTGGTCACCCCATTGACCCCCTGACACCCTAACCACCCGGTCCTCCTGTTCCGACCCCACCCAGAACTGAGGCCCCCCATGCCTCTGGCAACCAACCGACTTTTGTATCCCAGCCCATCCCCATTCTCCCTCCCAGATTTCCCCCCCCAAATGATAGCTAATTATAACATCTCACTGCTTTAGCAATCTCTACCAAAATTAATTTTTCTCCACAATGCTAAATGAGCATTACACAAATCCATGCATTTTTTAAGAAAAGTACAACTTTTACAAAATACTTTCTAATTCAGATAATTCTTGTTTTGAAATTTTTTTTCTACCATTTTACCAAAAGAAATTGCCATAACAAAAAGAACTATTAATTTTTTTTTTTTTTTAAAAAGGGGCCTTTTCCCCAGGGAGGCGGGTGACCTATAAAGAAAGAAAATCCCCAAAAAGAAAATACTTTCATCATCATTAAACATTTTCCCCCCCCTACACATAATACTTTTTTTTGCAAGGTGCCCAAGTAAAAACGTTTAGAAGCATATACATATAAAAGATACCAAAAGCCCTCCAACTGCCAATTTTTCCGAACCCCCCCTTTTAGGGTGGCTTGTATCCCATTTCCGGAACCAAGTCCGTTTATATAAAAAAAAACGGTTTCCCTGAATCCCTTAAAAATAAAATGTTTATAACGTATTTGGTGAAAAAAAAATAGCTGAGAAAAAAAAATTTATTAAAAAAAAATTTTGCTAAATATTTTAATATTGTACTGCAGTAAAATCTTAATTTGTCCCCAAGATGTGTCCCCCTGTTTGTACCATATTCTTTAATTTTTTCACCCGGGAAATTTACACTTTTATACAGTAAAATTTTTCTTCTTTCAACAAAAGGCCATACCCACCAAGGCAGGGTGGCCCAAAAAGAAAAACAAAAGTTTCTTTTTTAAAAATTTTTATAAATTTTTTAACAAAAGGGGTCACTAGCCCCTTGCCCCCAGCTTTTTATGCCTCTTCGACACGCATGGCTTACGGGGGAAGACTTCTTTCCACTTCCCCATGGAGAAAAAAAAAATAAACAGAACAAGAACTAGAAAGAAAATAGAAAAAAACCCAGAGGGGGGTTTTATATATAGCTTTTACAGAATGTGAGGGGACCTAAGTGTAAGTAGAAGTAGCAAAGGGCCTGAAATTTGCATGTTCAGAGACAAAAAAAATGACACCAGCGTCCCACCATCTGAAAAAAAATTACGGGTTTCGTTTTACATACTTGGCAGGATGGTAGACCTCCCGGGTGGTTGCTTTTCTACCAACCTATACCTATAAAATACAAATGTTTGTAAAAAAGAGCCTAATAAACACATGAAAATTTACTAAAAATTTTCTCGCAAAAAAATTCAAGGCAAAAAGAAGTTGGGATTTTGCTTTGTGATAAGGGCTAATAACAACTAAGAACAAAATATTTCTAGATAAAATGTACTAACAAAGTTTCTCAGTTAGTTGTCTTGTGGTTGCAGTATTTCACAAGCACAGGATTTTCTTACACGGTACCCAGAGATGAGGTAGTGACTTTATGTTGGCAAGAATTTTTTTTAAGACTGCCCATATTCCCAAAAATAAAACACTTTTTACTCCATCAATTTTGTCTTTTCAAAAGGCACCAACTCACAGTTTTAGATTACTCCCCCAGATTACAGTCCCCCCACTCCTTGGATGCAGGGACTGTACTTTTCGCCTCCAAGCTATATATCCCCCCCACCACCTCAACAACCCTCCTCACCCTCTGAATAAAACTTTTAGGATCCACACCCGAATCACCAAAAATTTAATTCTCTAATAATATTCACACCAAAAATTTTCCCCCATACATGCATTTCTGCTGCCCCCAACTTTCCCCCTTGCTGCAACATTCAGAACCCATGCTTTACATTATACAACTGTTGGGAATGTGCACGATTTGGACATTTCCCCCGTCCCCCCCAGACTTTAATGCACCACCCCCCTCTTTTCCTTCACCAATTTTATGGGGACCTCTCTCATAGTCGTCCAATGATAATCCATTTCCCCAAAAATTCTGAACACCTTTTTTTCCCCACACTCCCCCTATCAATACCGTCTCTCCTTGCCTTTATTTTTTGAAAGGTTATTTAAAAAAAAAACATTTAAAATGTTAGATTTGGGTAAACCAGGAAGGATTAGAGTAACTGTGGGATCCATATAGTTTTGGGCTGCATGTGTTTAAAATCCTGTTTTGTTTTTTAAAGCATTTTACACGTTTGGTTATTTTCTGAATATTGGTTTTCTGTTTCCCCGTTCAAAAAAAAAAAACAGTTTAAATCCTTGAATAAATTTTTCCTCAATCATTGCTTTTTTTGGGGCTTAAATCAAGAATTTAAACCTTGTTTTTGGTGCTTTTTTTTAAATTTTTTTGGGCCATTAACAAAAACATAAACGGGACCCCCCATAGCGATTTTAACCCGTGCAAGAGACTCATTTTATGCGAAATTATCGTTATGCGAAGTTTTTCCCCTAAGAAAAAAGGGGAAATAAAATTTAAAATCCAGCAAGCACCCCAAAGTATAAAAAAAATTTTTTACCACATGAAATAAATTTTAAAACAAAAACTAAAAAAGGGCATGCACAATTACATGACCTTTTTTTTATGAAGATCGGTGATGAGTTTGGGTGGAGGGGGAGTGTGTGTTAGTGTTTAAAAGGGGGAACCCCCTTCCTTTAAGACTGGGTGTCAACCTTTTCGGGGTTACTTCCCTTCTTCTTTTAAGCCACTAGGACCAGCTTCAGAGTCACGGGAGTTCTGTCCTAAACATATCGCCCTAGGGGCCTGTACCTCCTTTCCCTTTATATTTTTCCCAAATTTTCACAACATTGTCAGTGTAATATCACCACACGGCTTGCAATAGCTGGTGAGGTGATTTCACCCATAAGGTTTGCACTTAAAGCCACTTTGCCAGATTTCCTTAAATTTTTTGTAGTAGGCAAATTTTCTTAAATTTCCCCTCCCCTTCCTTCGAACCAGTTTCCCGGTCGGCTTCTTGCTTTTTGAAGTTATTTTCAGCTATCAGGGTTATTCTTCATTGTCCTCCTCCACCAACTCTTCCACATCTCCCCACAACCTCCAACCCCCAAAGGGCTTTCCCAATGCCATAAAGGTTTCCCCAACTGGGATAGGGTTTTTAGGGGCCAAAAACCCCCAAAAACCCTTTGGTCCCCGGGCCCCTCAAGGAAGGTTTCCCTTTTGTTTGGGGGGGTCTTTTTAAAAATTGGAAATTTCTCCATTCCCCAAAGCCTAAAATTTTCCCCATCCCCCCCAAAAAAACCTGAATTTTTCCTCCGGGGTTTTTCGCTTTTGATTTAAAAAAAAAAACTTCCCAAATTTTTTTCCCCAAAAGTTTGGGGGCCCCAGTCCTTAACCCCAAATTTTTCACAAGAGGATATTAAAAATTTTCCAAAAGGTCTTAACATTGGTTTTTGGGACTAAAAAAAACCCCCTTTAAAGAGCTTTTTTTCTTTTAATTTCTTAACCCTTTTCCTGGGGGGGGAGTTATAGGGCAAAAACCCTTTAAATTAAAATTTTTCCCCCTAAAGTGCCTGCCAAGCTTAGGGCCGGGGCTTCTCCCAGGAATTTTCTTTAAAATTTTTTTTCAAGGTTTTTTACATTCAAATTTGGGGGAACCTCAAAAAAATTTTCCCCCCCCCCATTTACTGTTTGCCCCCCGCCCCAACAAATTTTCCTTGAGAACATTCTTTTGCCTGAATGGTCTGGGAGTTTCAAGTGATACACTAATAAAGGCTCTTTTTGAACACCAGTAGCTTTGGGAACACACAACAGAGTAAGCCTGTTTTTTCATGGGCTTATGTCCTGGAGTGCCTTTTCCTCCTGGTAATGTAGGCCTGCTTGGCTTTTTTCTTCCAAAACAGCCTGTTTCATCAAAATTTAAAACCTTGTTCAGTTTCAGTCCTTCATTTCTATGTCTCCTTGATTCCGCACATTTTTTTCAGCTGCTTTTGGTCCGACTGGCAGCCTCACCATCCCTTACACCATGTACCCATTACGCCCTTAAATCTCTAAAACCAACCTTTGCGGGCCCCTTAAAATTCACTCACATCTCACTATTGCGGGAAATTTTTTTAAATTTAAAATCCCAGCAACTTCCTAGCCTTTTCACTTTGACACTTGAGAGATGTTTTCTTTTCTCTTTATCCACCCCAAAACAGTCCTCAACATCTTCCATCACTTGTAATCTGTTTTCGAAAACACTTTTAAACCTTTGCAAGAACGCTTCCTTTGTTTTCCCCTTTTTGTTGCCCACAATAGTAGCGATGGTTGTTTGGGGGTTACTATACAACCTCCCCAGCTCGGAGACACGCACTCCACTTTCATACTTATCAGTGATCTCTTTCTTCATCTCTATAAAAATTCTCACCCTTATTCCTGTAGGGTTGGCACTAGAAGCTTTCTTGGGGCCCATGGTCACTTATTTTGCAGATAAAATCACCAGAAACACTGTAATAATACGAAATGTTCCGATTGTATGCTTGGATGTTACCGCGGAGGCTGGCTGGTAAACAATGCCACCGGCGGAACATGTGAGGCTGGCTAAGGGCGCACATTAGACGCGTCTTGGACGAACAGCGTTGAGCGGGTTTTTTAGCGGTATGCGAGGCAAAATCTTGGCGATAAAATGTAGCGGTATGCGGATTTAACGTTATGTGATGCCAACGGTATGCGGGGGGTCCACTGTACTAATTTACTTTTCTTGTAACATAATGAAGTAATAGGCATATTTGCAATGAATTGCAAAAGAAAAATTGATAATGCACTATTCCTAGTATAACATTATTTGTTTCAAAAAATATTAAACTAATTTTCTCATGCACGCTCATCTAAAGTGACGATTTCATGTTGATTCAGTCAAAATTTATTTTACCTTGCACAGTAATTCATAACATTAATTTCCAGGTATATGCACAACTCGAGATATAGACTTCATGCTCAACCACATTAACAATGCACGGTATCTCCGTGCCATGGACTTTGGCAGAATAGATCACTGTATCCGTGCTGGAATCTTCAAAGCAGTGTCAATGAATAAGGCAAAATTACTAGTTGCTGCTACCACTATCAGGTATCGCAAACCTGTGTACTTATTTATGCCTTATCGGCTGCATTCTCAGGTGAGCAAATAGTTGTGTTCTTGTTTTTTTTTTTTATCAAACTATTGACTCAGTAGTACATATACTGTATCTGTTATATATAGTATACATACATGGGCGTGATGGAAGTCTTTGTTGGATCATATAATTCCCACAAGCCTGATTAAATCCTTTTTTCTTTTTTTTAACACATCGGCCATTTCCCACCAAGGCAGGGTGGCCTGAAAAAGAAAAACTTTCATCATTCACTCCATCACTGTCTTGCCAGAGGCATGCTTACACTACAGTTATAAAACTGCAACATTAACACCTCCTCCTTCAGAGTGCTGGCACTGTACTTCCCATCTCCGATAAAACAGATGAATAGGGAAAGGGGTGTCTGCTTTAGTGAAAATTTGTAGTCCACTTAATCAGTCGACTAGCAGACATGAGCAAACGCCCATTAAAACAGACTTAGTCTGCTGTATTGATAACATAACCAGACATTCAAAGAAAAAATTAATGCAAGCATTCGCTGATCTCTCTAATCTTTCTCTCTCCCTCCTGCACTTCCTTTTTTCTCTCTCCCCATATCTCTTAATGGATATGTAAGTCTGCTTGTCTTCATTGGAGTGATGGTGGAGGGTGTATTGGAAGTGAGTGGGAGGGAGGGATTGGAGGGAGTGAGGGAGGAAGGCAGGCAGGCAGAGTGGGAGTGAGGGAGGAAGGCAGGTAAAGGTGGGAGTGAGGAAGGCAGGCAGAGGTGGGAGTGAGGGAGGAAGGCAGGCAGAGGTGAGAGTGAGACTGTAAGTGTACCAGATGTGTGTACTAGATGCAGGCGAAGGGAGACTTCAACACCAAGCATGTAAATATTAACCCTTTCAGGGTTTCGGCCGTACTAGTACGGCTTATGTGTCAGGGTCCTTGACGTACTAGTACTCATAAATTCTAGCGCCTTCAAATCTAGTGAGAGAAAGCTGGTAGGCCTACATATGAAAGAATGGGTCTATGTGGTCAGTGTGCACAGTATAAAAAAATCCTGCAGCACACAGTGTGTAATGAGAAAAAAAAAACTTTGACCGTGTCTTTGGATTAAAACAGCGACTTTGCATTGTATTTTTGTATCGTATTTATTGTTGTATTCTAGTTTTCCTGGTCTCATTTTATAGAATGGAAGACATATTACAGAAATTGAGATGATTTTGACTGATTTTACAGTGAAAAGTACCTTGAGATTGAGCTCGAAGTAGCAGAAATGTTCGATTTTAACCAAAGTTCAAAAGTAAACAAATCATGCTAAGCGTCCAATACACGTCAACTGGTGAGTCTGATATTCTTTCACAAGTGTGCCGATATTATTTATACCATTTCTACACTAATGCAGTAGTCTGCATAACAGTAAATCTTCTATTTTTTGTGAGAATAAAAATTCAAAATAGAAAGCAAAAGAATGTAAGAGGGGCATGGGGACGTGACTAATGAGCAGAGGAAATGTTATTTTAGTGCTAGGAAAGTCTTTCTTGTTTATTCTGGACCTTATTTGGAAATTGGCATCTTTTGAAATTTGTGTGAAATTGGCAAAATTGCTAAATTCTGACCACTGTATTGGATAGTTGAAATCGGTAAATGGGTGGTTTCTTGTGCTCATTTGATAGAAAAAATGGAGTTCTAGCGAAATAGTTATGATTTTTGTCGACTAGTAAACTGGAATTGGCCAAAAATAGGGCTCAAAGTGCGCAAAATCGCCGATACGTAAACATTGTCGAAGCCGCTAACTTCGCGAGAGCATAATTCCGTAAGTTTCCATCAAATTTTAAACTTTTGGTGTCATTATGATCGGGAAAAGATTCTCTATCGTTTCATAAGAATTTTTTTTTTTTTTAAATTTGAGGGACCCTGAGAACAAGTCTCTGAGAGGGCCTGTGGACCCTGAAAGGGTTAAGTCTGCTATTCTTTAACAATCTGCCTGCTGTCTGCCTGGCCTGTCTGTGTTTCTTGTCAACACTTATTTTGTCTCTGGGAACATAATTTGCAGTTGGACTGAGAGGCTTGTCTCTACCACCACAATGAAAATGGACAGGTCCTGGCTGAAGCATGGACTATATAAGCTTGTGATTAAGCAGAGTTGGTCCTTTTTTTGAGCTTACAACCAGATCAAATTTAGTCTGCTTCATGGCTAATTTAATTGAACATCCAATTAAACATTCATGTTGGGCCTTTGTCCAGTGAGATTTTTTGTCTGTTTTAACCGATATCCGTTTTATTGGATGCTTACTATATGTTTATTGGTTTTCTCATGTCTAAATCTGGTTTCTTTTTGTTAACAAAAAGAAACTGTCCAAATGTAGATCTACGTTTGCTCGCGTAGCACTCTGAACGTAGATCTATGTTCTACTTTACGTGCTTTCCTGTGTAAAAAAAAAACGTAGATCTACATTTGGGGCGCTATGTGAGTGAACATAGATCTGCGTTTGGACAGTTTATTACTGATATCAGTATAAACCAGCTTAGAATGATGTTTAGAGAGATTGTTAAAAACTAAAGGGTATCTTTTAACCTTTTGGGGGTCGCCAGGCTCTCTCAGAGACTTGTTCTCAGGGTCGCCAAAATTTAAAAAAAAAAAAAAAAAAAAGTTTTCTTATGAAAAGATAGAGAATATTTTCCCGATCATAATGTCACCAAAAGTATGAAATTTGATGGAAAACTTACGGAATTATGCTCTTGCGAAGTTAGCGGTCTGACAATGTTTACGCATCGGCTTTTTTTTTTTGCCCTTTTGACCCCATTTTGCCCAATTTCCAGGCATAGTCAACAAAATCAAACTTTTTGCTGAATTTTCCATTTTTTCTACGAATGAGACAAGAAACCACCCATTTACCGATTTAAACATCCAAAAAAGTGGTCAAATTTAAAATTTTTGCCAATTTCACACAAATTTAAAAAGATCCCTTTTCCGAATGGGGTCCAAAAAAAAAACAAGAAAGACATTCCCTGGCAAAAAATAACGATTTTCCTGTTCGTTAGCACATCCCCAGGCTCCTTTATATTTTTTTGGTTTTCCCATTTTGAATTTTTATTTTTAAAAAAAATAGAAATTTATGCAATACAGACTACTGAAATTTTTGAAAATGGATAAGAATATCAGCGCACTTGTGAAAGATATTGACTCCCCTTTTGACGTGTTTTGGGCGTTTGGGCATGTTTTGTTTATTTTTTGAACATTGGTAAAAATCGAACTTTTCGCTATTTTGAGCCAATTTCAAGGTACTTTTATTGAAAACCATCAAAATCACTAAATTTTCGTAATATTCTTCCATTCTAAATAGACCAAAAAAACTAGAATACAACAATAAATACCAACAAAAATAAGTGAAAAAGTCGTTTTTAAAACCAAAAACACAATCATTTTTTTTTTTCTCATTACCACTGGGCTGCAGGTTTTTTTTTATACTGCCACGTGCCCACATAACCCATTCTTTCATATTGGGCCCCCGCTTTCCTCACTGTTTTGGGATGCTAGAATTTAGGCTATTGTACGTAAAAAACCCTGGGGCTAACCCGCACTGTAGGGCCGAAACCCCAAAGGGGTTTAAACTTACCTCCCTACACTCTTTTCTCTCTACCTTTATCCTTCCAAATTTATCTGTTGGTGTGATCTTCCCCTCGGGGAAGTGTCCATTTTCTCTTGACTTGTCAAAAACACAATTTAAAATTTTGTACGGGATTTCATTTAAAAATGGGCCAAAAAATTTGTTCCTTGGAACCACTCTATTGAGAGGGGAAAGGCAAATAACCCTTTTCCCAAGGTTTTTATTTAAAATTTGGGAAAATTTAAAATCCCAAAAATTTTTAAAGAACTTTAATTCCCAGCTTAAATATCCAAAACCTTTTGGGGGAAACCCCCCTTTTTTTTGTTAATAAAATGATAATTTTAAATTTGTTTTCTAAAAATACCAAAAAGGGAAGGAAAAGGGGAAAGGGGCGTTTTTGAGGGGAACCGGGGAGGTTCCCAAAAAAAAGGGGGGAGGGGGGAAAAAAAAATTTTTTGGGGGAAGGGGGGACCCAAAACCCCCCCGGGTAGAAGGGGGAGAAAAAATGGCCAAGGTTGGGGGGGACCGAAAAAAGTGAGGGTTGGAAATGGAAAAAAGGAAAAAAGGAAAGGGAAGAAAACCTCCTTTTGGGGGGGGGGATTGGGGGAGGGGGGAAAAAAACGATAGGTTTAAATTTTTTTTTCGGACCGCAAAAAAGGAAAAAAAAGGGGCTAAAGGTTTTTTTGAGGAAAAAGGGGGGGGGGGAACCTTGGGGGGCCAAATTGAAAAAAAAAAAAAGAAAAACCCAGGAAACCCAGGGAACCCCGGGGGTTTTTGGGGGGGGAAAAAAAGGTAAAAAAAACCAGAAGGGGAAAAAGATTTGGAGAAGGGAAAAAAAAAAAAAAGGGCCCCCCCCCGGGAAAGGAAAAACAAAAAACCCCCCAATAAAAGAGAGAACAAACCTTTGGGGGACCCGAAAGCCAAAAAAAGGGGGGGGGGGAGGTAAATTGGCCAGGGAAAGGGGGGAAAAAAGAGGAGAAAAAAAAGTTTAAAAAAAAACAAGATGAAAAAGACAAGCAAAACCCCGGGGCCCCCCAAAAATTTTTCCCCCCCAGAACCCCAGGGAAAAAGTCCCCAACAAAGACCCAAAACCCCCCAGGCAAACAAATTTTTTATAGAAAAAAAAAAAAAGGATTAGGGGGGAAAAAGGGGAAAAAGGAAAAGAGCCGAAAACCCGGAAGGGGGGCCGGGGCGATAAGGAGAGCAAAAAAAGGGGGCGGAAAGGGGGGGGGGAAAAAAATAAAAAGAAAAAAAAACCCAACAAAAGGAAAAAAAAACCCAAAAGGGAAAGGAAAGAAAAAGGAAAAAAGACGGGTAATTTTTAGTAAAGGGATCAGGGAAATGGTAGTTTTTTATGTAAAATGAGTACTGGAAATGGGAAGTACAATGCCTGCACTTTGAAGGAGGGGTTTGGGATATTGGCAGTTTGGAGTGATATGTTGTGTATCTTTA